AGCACGTTTTTAAATGTAAAAAAAACTTAGCTCGAAAAGAAGGTCAAGTCTTCATACGTACTACACAACTGTTATATGTGGTGTGACGTCGCTAAGGAAAAAATCTATGGAACGCAGTTTGGGCCATATCTTATGAACTTTTAAATTTAATTCAATTCAATTATCGGAAAAGTAATGCCCTTAAATATTGTTACTGTGACAGTAAAATATTATTAACAGCTGTGATAACATCTTATAACATATAAGAATTGGTTCAATAATTTAAAACCATCTAAAATATATTAAAGATTAATATTCAATGCATATTTTTGTCCTTGAGTGATAATTCCTAGGATATCTGTTAAAAATGCCTAAATTGGCCGATAACGATAACATTCATAAAATTATTTGTTTCTAGAGAGGGGTAGGAGGGGTACTGATCCCGAAATCCCGGGCTTAAAAACATGGAATCCCGAGGTCCCGAATCTAAAAAAATTTAAATCCCGACATCCCGAAATTCGAAAAAAAAATATTCCCGGATCCCGAAAGGATCAATCCCGAAATCCGATCCAGGAGTCCCGATAAAGGTCCTCCCCCCGCTCACTATCGAGAACCGATAACACTAGGATACTGTCATTTTAGATTATACGAAGAAATACATATACATACCTTCCATGGCTAATACATTTATATTTGGCAAACACGTGGTGAAAGTAATTAATCCACACAAAAAAAACCCCTGAAAAACCGTTAAACCGGACGACAGAGAAATATATTAAATCACAAACCAAATCCCGAACATGCTACTATAACCCGTTATTTTGTTTTATTCTCAACATCTATCAGATAGTAACAATTGATGGTATATTAAGGAAAACTGTTGTTTTTTTTTTATATATAAAGTTCATTTTCAGAGTTATAATAGTAAAATAATATAGAAATAATGTATTTATGATAAATAATGTATTTATGATAAATAATGTATTAATGACATAATATATACTAACAAAATTATAAGAAAGTCTAAATTGAAAACAACGTTTAAACCTATGATTGCGTTGGACAAAAACCGCAATTTTTATACGTGTGCATGCAAAACAAATTTCTTGGTAGAGGGGTCTTAATACAGCACAAACAACATTTTCCAAAATACCAAAAGAGTGAAAAAGTATATTTTCACAAAACGCATTTGACTAGCAGGTCGAACAACTGATGTTCTTAAACCCTGCTGACTGCCATTGGCGATTGCCAAACAAACGGATAACAAGATGTAACAAAATGGATCTTATAATTAATTTATTACCAAACAGAAAACAATAAACTTGCGGAAAAGATGGTATACCACAAACATGAGGTGCAAAAATTTTGTACACCATATCCGGATTTCGACAATTAATCTCTTCAGTGATGTTAGGAATCGAAACGGTATTTGGAAGGCCATATAATTTACCTCAATTTAGGATAGACTCTTGAATTTTGAAAGAGTTCAAATAGGATGAACGGATCATATTACTAACAAAATTATAAATATAAACCTGAAGATACCCTGGTCTTAAGATATACTAATATACAGGGATCTCCACTGAAATACCTGTATCAGTGAAGAAATCTGTTAACAGCATGTGCAAAATTGTTGTTGAATAAAAAAAAAAGAAAAAAAAAGAAATTCAGTTCAGCATGACTGTCTTATACAAACTAGGGTTTTATATACTTGTCACATTAACATATAATTGTTTTAAATATGTATGAAAATGTTATGTTTGCAACTGGACGTTAAACAGTCATCCATCCAACATTTTAGTTCTTCAGAATATGTCTTCATCAACAAACTCAAAAATGGCCTTTCAGTTGCATTTTGTTATGGCTTTATTGAATATTGGTAATTGTTATAATCGGATGTAATTGTAAAACATTGTTTTAAAAAGTTACAATTTATTTTTCTGTCAAAAAGGAGGGAGTATAATAAGATCTTGAGCATTCTTTGTTGTCATGAAATTATAGAACTTGTTATATTTTCATTAAAATGTCTGTTTTTTACATGGTAGCTTTTTTCGACGAAATAGATATTGGCCAAAACCTTACCCAAATAGATAATATAAACATTAACAAATTTGTAAAATACATCTTGTATATAATTGGTAACGCATTGGCTCATATTTGTTTAATCAAATATCAATGACAAGTATCTTTTTAACCAATCACAACGGATTGGTGTATGCTTTTGAAAATATTACTAAGAATTCATTAATTCTGAAACGGCTAATTACAGGTTACCAAATGGCGAATTACATGTTACATAACGGCGATTTACAGGTTACCAAACGGCGATTTACAGGTTACCAAACGGCGATTTAAGTATCGACAGAATGTAGGACCATGAGTATAAATATCCGGATAATTGTTTTCATGAAATTGAACGATATCACCTTTTGAAATAGGAAACATTTACAAATAGATATAAGAAGATGTGGTATGAGTGCCAATAAAACAACTCTCCATCCAAGTCACAATTTGTAAAAGTAAATCATTATAGGTCAAAGTACGGCCTTCAACACGGAGCCTTGGTTTACACCGAACAACAAGCTATAAAGGGCCCCAAAAATGACTAGTGTAAAACCATTCAAACAGGAAAAAATACGGTCTAGTCTATATAAAAAACGAGAAACGAGAAACACTTATGAAGAACATCAACAAACGACAACCACTGAACATCTGGTTCCTGACTTAGGACAGGTGCAAACAAAAAGCTTATTTCACATGTTCCATTTGATAGACATCAAATGGTGACACTTTGAGAGATTTGAGGGAGATTCAAAAAGTTTGTAAAATACTCAAATGATCATGTTATCAATTGTTACTGTTACTGTTACAGATAATTTCCTCCTCTCTTAGATGCACCCCCGAAGCGATACATAATTTTTTAAATCTATTATCTAAAAGATATTTACAAAAGAGGGACGAAAGATATCAGAGGGACAGTCAAACTCACAAATCGAAAACAAACTGACAACGCCATGGCCAAAAATAAAAAGACAAACAGACAAATAATAGTACAAATGACACAACATAGAAAACTAAAGACATCAACAACTTACATCAACAAAACTTATTAAAAGCATTCAAAAATTATTATAGGATTGAACACATTTTTTCTAGAGGTTATTGATGTGTAAACCGGGGCGATTAACTCACAAACTGAATAAAAGTCAGAAGGACTTTTGTGTTAAGTTTGTGAGTAAGAGCCCCGTTTTACACATCAATAACCTCTAGAAAAAATGTGTTTAATCCTTATATTTCTTAAGAAAAATATTTGCGATTTTTAATTAACATTTTAGTAGCCATACTATAATTACCATCAAATGTACAATTGACAGATCGTAACTAAGGAATTGGCCGTCATATTGACTTTCTAAAATCCATAAATGTTCGATAAATGCAACAGAATCTAAAATGAAATAGCACCTACCTCAAAAATTGCATTTTAATGAGATATTATCCGAATTTGAAGCGTGCAATTAACGAAATTATCTTTCCCTTGAAAGTTTTCATTCGTATGACGTCGTATTTTGCCATGACGTAAATTCACTAAATTATTCATGAAATTTCGCGGAATTTAATTTTAAATTTTGGTTTTATACATTTTCGAAGCTTTAATGCATTATTTCTTTTTTGTTATATATGCATTAGAATAGAAATAACTGTTATGTATTTGTTTTTTTAATCTCAATTTGCTGAAAATCCCGGGATCCCTGCATGCAAGTGTATCGCGCAAGAATAGATTACAGTCAAGGTTACGAAAGTAGTTTCGGAAACATGGTTTATCGAAGTGTAAACTAAGAGAAAAATTCTAATTGACCAATCCAATTCAAGTATTTACATAAAAGCAATCATATAAGAATTATATCCCTATGAATTATCATCATTTAACGCAGATACACCAATTAAAAAAAATAGCAATTATATTTTGATTTTTTTACATAAATGAAAGTAAAAGAGGAATACATGTAAAAAAATAAAAGTATTGCTTCATCAGTATATCTGAAGAATGGTGAATCCTGAATCGAACCCGTTTGACACATTCATCTGATCAGTCTGAGCTCTCAAATGTAGAATGTCTCCTTCATCAAGTTGAGTTATTGTCATTGCAGCATGAGATTCTATGAGACCATCACCACTTTTTATAGCTCTTGCGATAAATTGACAATTCTTATACAAAATTGATGATGCTATTAATGATTTAGACGTCACATATAAAGACACGAAGTAGTACCCCTTTTTTTCGCAAGTAAATACTCCTCTGCTTGTCATTGACGAAACGCTACTTATACCATGCATGGCCGTTATAACCGTGAATGGTATGACCTCATGATATGACATTATTTTTTCATAAGGAACCAATGCTGACATAAAAGTTGAAATGTGAAAAAAAAATTTTATGTGCTACTATTTACACAAATTAAGGTTAAGACAAACATTATTAATACATTAACTTAATGTCGCCGCCGACCTTCGATATATAATTTCAAATTAAAGATCAATGACATATACCTGAACAACACATACAATGTTAAATAAACAGTTAGTACATAGAAAACAATGTTATTGTGAATAAATGAAACTTAAATGTTTCTTGCCCTCAACATTCTCAATGGGTGTGTTAAATCAATCCTTGCAAAACCCTGTCATCTTTTTCTTGTGTTATTTGTTGTTCGGTTACTATCTCATTGACTTCTACCCAACATAATTATTCAATTAATGAAACCATATCCAACTAAAGAAGACATCACGTGACTTCGATGACGTAGCAATCCAACATATTCAATTAACAGATCGGGGAAAGGGCTTCTTGCATGCTCAAATTCTGCCTATTTCCAGCACAAAAAATAACACTAATTTTTTTTTTTCAAAACGAAAAAAGCAATTGTAGTATACGAAAATTTTCAACTAATATGTGTATGCGTTATCATCGTCTTATCTTAAATGCATTAAATGTCTTACTTTAGGAGCAATACATGTCTTACCTCTTGTGTCAATCTTTGCTTTCAGTTCTTTGAATTCTGGAAACAGATCTAACACAGATTCTATCTCCAGACATCTAACAGCTGCAAGAAAAAATACTATTAAAATTGAACCTTCATTTTTCCTGTGCTATTTCAACAAATGTTCACCTTCAAGTGGCTTGTTATCAATTATCAGGTTTTATAAGGCTAACTTCGGCTATTTCCTGTGAATGTCCGTTACACAAATTATTAATATTTACTTATACTTAATAGTTAAAATTGAAAACAAGATAATATTTGATTGTTTTTAGGTAGCACATTTGTTATACGATAAATAATCATATTTTGTTGATTTTTTTACAGAAATTAAAAAATCCGTCTGCTGATAAATCAGGGCTAGGTTCATATACTTGTCACATTAACATATAATTGTTTTAAATATGTATGAAATGTTATGTTTGCAACTGCACGTTAAAAAGTCATCCATCCAACTTTTTAGTTCTTTAGAATATGTCTTCATCAACAAACTCAAAAATGGCCTTTCAGTTGCATTGTGTTATAGATTGATTGAATAGTGGTAATAATTATAATCAGATGCAATTGTAAAACATTGTTTAAAAAGCTACAATTTATTTTTCTGTCCAAAAGGAGGGGGTATAATAAGATCTTGAGCATTCTTTGATGTCATGAAATTATAGAGTTTGTTTTCTTTAAAATGACTGTTTCACATGGTAGCTTTTTTCGACGAAATAGATATGGACCAAAATTTTCCCCAAATAGATTGTATATACATTTACAACTTTGTAAAATTCATCTTGTAGCTAAATATCATTTTGGATAAAGCCTTGACTCATATTTGTTAAATCAAATATTAAGATCTGAATATCAAACTATCATTGCAGTGTTTTCAATTTTTGCAGTTTTACACTAAATGCAAGGAGTTTGGAGCTCAATTGCAATTTTTTAAGACAATATATATAAACTGATGCTTGACAACTGTATAATGATTTGGTAAAGGACCCCCTATCCAGACACTCATGCAATTTGGCCAATGTCGACTGAAGCAAAAACTAGAATTTAATCAAAATTTTTTTAAATTTCATCGTAATGGTGCAAACTTATGATGCCATGATGACATTATTACTTATGTAATGCCTATAAACTTGTTGATTTTCAATACTATCCTTCTGTCGCATCATTTTACTTGTTTCTGGGTCTTGTTCCTCGTTAGTGTCAGTTTTATACAAAAAATATTTTGAACAAAATCCGCCTGATATTATTTTTGACTTCATCTATGTTCCAACCACTTGACTCAAATAGCTTTCTTTTAGTCAGTTTTGATGTTATTTCTCTCATGTATTTCTTGGCATAAATGGGGCTCGTGACATAAATAATTTATCCATGAATAGCTGGAGTGTTAACAGTATCATTTTATGATTTATACGATTTTCATATCAGGTAGGGATGACCTCTGTCAACGTAGCTCTTGAAAGTCGGTGAATATATCCGCAAAGCATCATTACGATCCTTTCATGACAGTTGTATTTTAAAACACAAATGTATCTACTGTGGATTCATTATTATTCGTTGGATACCAATTTTCGTGGATTTCGTGGGAACAGGTGAAACACGAAATTAAATGATCAACGAATACCAAATTTTCTATAGGCTTGTATGCATACTTCGGCAAAACCACGGAATTAAATATCCACGAACATGTATGTTTTCCTTAATCCACGAAAATTGGTACCCACGAAAATAAATGAATCCACAGTACTTGTTTTTAAGTCTAACTCAATGACGAAAACTAAGCACCCTGCCCAAACAGGGGTCGGACACAACTTTCCAGAAATCATATTATTAAGTTATTGATTTGATAGTAGATAGTAGATACTTGAAAGTTAAAAAAAATCGTTAAAAAGAACATTATTCCAAAAAAACTTGTGTATTTTAAAAAAGAAATTGCAGTTTATCAATTTATAGTACTTGAGATACAATGAATACATTAGAGCTTTATTGTATGATGTTGGAAACACAAAATGTCAACGTTGACAGTACTTTGTACCTTCATATTTGTCATCAAAAGGCTTTCATGATATAGTAAAAATGTAACTTCCGAGAAGAATAGCAGAAAAGGCTACAAATTGAACTAAGAGTTCTGAATAAAATAATTTATTATGCAGGAATATTAATTTCAATACGTTCAAGGTCAACTAATTCATACAATTCAAATCAAATCAAAGAACCTGTATAATGTCAGTGTTCAGACAAAATTTATAAATCTCAATAAATATATGCTTCAATATCAATAGAACAATTCTAAATTTAGGCCAGGGTTGATCTAAAATTGTTTCACGGCAAAAACACCATCGTCAAGTAAAATGTGTAACGGAATTCACCGTCTGTTTACACTAATATTACTGGAAGATGTGTAAATAAATGCTAAAACAGCTTAACTTTATCTTCTTACTAAATTCTCAAAGCCAAACGTGAAATGAATAGGTCAGGAGAACGAAAAGCAGCCGTTCTCTGGGACAGTTGAATTTCAACTTCCCAAGTTGTTTACGTTGGACAGCAGAGAGTCATTCCCACGGGCCATTTCCCGTAATTACCTATATTTCGTGGATCTCGTATACACGTTCATTATACTGACAAATATGCATGATCATAAATTATATGCAATAACTAGTTTTATTCCATAATAACAATATTTCAATAAGCACACCAGGAATTAAATCCCGTAGAAATTACTACAGTACTTTGTTGTGATAAGAATGACAACTCTTGCACAAAACATGGAGCTACGGTTTGGCGGAAAATGTGTCAACACAGTTAATTCTACTGAAAACGTTGATTAATGAATGAAACGAGGCTAAATGTGATTTCTCAGGTCCGTTATACGATTATACAAATTTGGCACACTTAAATAATACGAAAGGAATGATATTTCATAAGAAATCATCATTATAGATCGAGAGAGATATGTCCAATATACCATATGGTATTCACAACAATGATGAGCTTTTTTTTATAAATGAATAAAGCATTGTGTGTGATGTTGGAGTACATTTAAAAAAAAAAGAAATATAATTGAGTGCAGCCTCTGAAAAACAAGTTAAACTTCATGCTACTCACGATCTGCATTTTTAGTCAAATTTGCTAGCTAAACGATAAAATGAAAAAAAAATGCACATTACATCTTTTTGACGACCAAACTTTAATTCGAGTAAAATAATTTTTCTAGGACTGTGCACATTTTTAGCGGTGTAAAATGAAGTGAAATTAAACTCTTTAAATAATCGAATTTTTCCTATTCCGTCATCGCACTAATATGAGAAAGACTAAGAAAAATAAAATAACTAGTGGGGCACCTTCATACATAAACTCACTGAAGAAAATATTGCCAAAAAAAAAAAATCACTAATCAAACAATTTACCATCCATAACTGTGTCCACACTTGTAGTAAATATAGATGTAAAAAATGATTGGTTAAATATGTTGCTCTTATCTATCTTGTCAAAAAATCTATGTGTAAAATGGTAATTTCTATGACACCACAGTGATATAACAATTGGCTGTTCTGCACTAAAGTGTCAAGATTATATGACCATACAATTGAGAATGGAAATGGGGAATATGTCAAAGAGACAACAACCCGAAAAAAGAGCAAATAATGTTCATTTATCAATATAAGTAACATTATTGTGAAGACTACTAGTAAGGAGCATGTGATATAGGAATTGTGATTTTGTACTGTATATCATATTTGTTTTTCATTCATTGTTGTATACATAAACCAGGCCGTTAGTTTTTAATCGTTTAAATTGTTTACATTTGTCATTGCGGGACCTTTTATAGCTGACTATTCGGAACGGGTGTTGCTCATTGTTGAAGGCCGAATAGTTGTTAACTTCTATGTCATTTGGTCTCTGGTGGAACGTTGTCTCATTGGCAATTATACCACATCTTCTTATTTTCATATTGAGTAATTTTACTACTAATGCAATTTCAGGTAGCACATAATGGCTTATTGCATGCCTCTTCATGTGATTCTTTGATAAATTCAATACTTTTCTAAACTATTGATGATTAAAAGCTTGACCCATTGCATCAATCTGAGTCTATTGTCGAAATTGAAGATAATAATATAATTTCCAATGAGACAACTATCCATCAAAGACCAAAGACTCATGTATGACAAAGTATAAAACAAGTGAAAAGAGAAAACAAATGCCCGTATCTTTTTCACATAAAAGATGAGAATATTGTTTAGTACCTTTACAACCAATCACAACGTTTTAGTGTACGCTTTTGAAAATATTATCCAGATACATCAGATTCTAAAACGTCGAATTACAGGCCACCAAAAGGCGATTTAAGTATCGACAGAATGTAAATATCCGGATAAGTGCCTTTAGAAAATAGGAGGATATTAAAATGAGAAACATTTACAAATCTTATTTCCCATGTTTTATTTGATGGACATGAATTGGTAAAACTTTGTAAGATTTGAGGTGTAGTTAATCTGGAGCAACACATGAGGAAATCTTAAGAGGTCCAGATTCAAAACGTTTGTAAAATCCTTAAATTATCATGTTATCAACCAAACTCATTAAAAAACATTCAAAAATTACATCGATATGAATTATTATCATTTTACATAGTTACACAATTACAAATGCATTTTGAACACCCAAATGGCTGTTTGTTCTCTATAAGCATTCATATTGTGTAAATGCTACGTTTAGCGTTGTGTAGTTAACTGTCTGTGGAAATGTTCACTAACTTATTATAAACAATTTTATTTCGAAATTTTTACATACATAAAAGTTAAAGTGGAATACATAAAATTATTGCTTCATCAGTATATCTGAAGAATGATGAATCCTGAATCGTACGTATTGTACACATTCATCCCATCAAAGCGAGCTTTCACTGATAGAATGTCTCCTTTATTGAGTTGAGTTATTGTCATTGCAGCATGCGTTTCGTAGTTATCATCACCACTTTTCGTAGCTCTTGCGAGCTTGTCATACACATTCTTATACAAAATTGCTTATGCTAGTGGTGATTTCGACGTCACAAAAAAAAAGACACGAAGTAGTATCCCGTTTGCTCGCAAGTAAATATTTCTCTGCTTTTCATGGTCGAAACGTTACGTACGCCA